GACACTAAAATACAAATTCCTCTACAATAGATATAACATAACTTGGTATATTCAAATAATTGCAGCTGAACTCCAATACATATCAAGTTTTTTCAACACCTACGATTTACCCATGTACCACAGCACAACAGGTTTGATTTATTGCTCTCCACCCCATCAGCAAATATTCAGCTTTCCCTTGTCCCTAGCAGATGAATGGGGAGGCAGTGGTATGAAGAAAATACCGGTTACTTCCAGGTACCGTGGAGTATGTAACTCAGTCCACTCAGATTTTAAAAACACACATGTAAGTGCAGTTTTTAATTCAAGCTGGAGGTCATATTACATCTTGTCTGCATTGGTGGATATTTGAAGTACCCCTGGTTGAATATTGTCAGTCCATGTAAGAGTGTTGGGTCACTCATTATGCAGCAACAATGTAGAATGGGAAAATTCTACAGCACTGTCTAAGTGCAGCAACGCAAAAGGATAAATATTGGCTACTGGGGGAAGGGGGATTATAGTGAATCTGTTGCTTTGCCCTTCATCAGCAAAGCAAATGGAAGTTTTCTTTTTTAATGCTTACTTTTTTGCTGTAGAATTCCCATCCAACGTACTCCCATCAGCCACAATGGTTTTCTGGCACCTGTGTAAATCCTATCCAATGATGTCCTATGCAGCCTTGTGCTCCTTGTGGAGCACTGTTAGTGCTGGCACACTAATATCAACCTGGTGACCACAGGAAGCATGGGTGACAAGGTTGCTCCTGCTCAGGAAGCGTTGTCACCTTTAGGCTGTTGGTTTGCAAATTGGCAGGATCACCAGGCAGAAAAACAACTAAGAAAAGGCAAACAACGACGACGCTGGGACTAGAGGGGGGAGCCATTTTATTAATTTTAGATTAACGTGCATTTTAATAGCCAATTAAAGTACCTCTCGAAGAGTCCATATCAAAAGGATGGCAAATAGTTATTACATACCGACTTCCACTGGTCGAGTTCTTTGGTAACTTGGTGCCACTTTCTCTATATCTTCAAAGGATGCAGCCGCCTGTAAAATGTAAAGCATACGTAACAGGTATTGATATGTGTTCTCTTTAGTGCATACACATACTGTACAATGCAAACCAAATTTATTCACTATGTCTATTGACTACATAATGAAAGCAAAAGAAAATGTTGTATGCCAAGCATGACTTAGACATTATGGATGATGCTGAAACTGACCCATGAAGCAATTATGCCAGTATTCCTTGAACTCAACTTAAAGTGCATCTAAACTAATGCACCAAACATCAATTACATGTGAGAACCCAAGTGTGGGTTCCCAGTGACTAGTAGCCCTGTTGAAAGCAACGGTAGGCTCCCCCAGCTAATCGTGCCCACTTGCATGTAATCGCTCATGCAGCGATCATATACGAGTAGAGTAGGGAAGGGTTAGAACCGGTCAGTTTTTTTTTTTTTTTTTGACTGCGCTCGGTGTTGCTGTGGGGAGATTCCCCCCATAACCTACTTTATCCAAAAACTGGGGGAGGCATGAGGTGCCACTGTGACTATGTGCTGCAAAGGGGGGTGGCGAGTGGGTGGCAACGTGGCTGTAAATTGAGAAAAGCAGTTAAAGTGGTGTCAGCCCTCTATGGTAAGTGCTGAAAAAAGGAGGCATAGAGGCAGGATCAATATGTGATGGGGGGTGGAAGGGAAACAGACAACTGAAGATAATGTAAAAGTCTACATTCAATGTACTACTGACACTGAAAAATGTAATTTTGCCAGTATGTACAATTTAGGACACTTCGCAAGCTGCAAATACATAGACATCAGTATTTAGTTTGATTCCAGAAAACTAGAAATATGCTACACTGGAAACATGCATGGCCTAGCAAAGTCAACAGAAGTAATTGTGAAACAGCAGAACAATGAAACAGCTTGTTAATTTCATATTGTTAAATCATAAATGAATTTCAATTAACATATGTTTGTATTGCTCCTGCAGACTGTGAAAGAAATGCCAGTATGCATTTTAGTGTGGGTTTCATCCTAAGCAAGATATACTGGCAAATTACCAATCACTGGACTAAACTGACCCTAGTGCGTGTATTCATGCACATGTCTAATGTCCACAGGACTGCTGGTATAATATAAATATCATGTAAGTTTTAAGTTCTACTTTCATATTTCGCCACTGTGCAATTCTGGCTTTCCCTGGCTTTCCCCAGTGACATTAAGCCTCCCTCTCCAGTTAGATCCCACATTATTAGTTTTACCCCATTATCTCTTCTTCAGAACACTCACTGTGTTTTTCCCATGTGTGTGTACACACACACACACACACACACACACACACACACACACACACACACACACACACACACACACACCTTTCCCTTCCGGCGTGGGCACTCACACTGGTGTTTCCCCTGTATCCCCCTCGGCCACATACACACTTTGGGGTTTTTCCCCTTTATTACTCCTCCAAAACACACACACACACACACTGGTCTCTCCCTTGTATCCCACCACTGGCGCACGCACAGTTTTGTACCCCTGTATCCCCCCCCCCCTTCAGCACACACATTGGTCTGTCCTCTAACTCTTTTCTCCAACTCTCTAGTTTCACTTCAAGAGACCCATCTGTCTGCAGTCACACTCTGTCTATGCAAACTGCACATTGAACACTGTGCATGTCCTCCCTGTATACAATGCACTCTGAGCACAGACACATGGTCTAGCGTACGTGCCAAGTGTGCTCAAATTCATGTGGCCCGCACACCTCTCCTGCAGGTGCAGCATCTCACTCATCTCCGCCCCCACCCTGTCTCAAATGTCAGCAGCAGAGAAGAGCACAGAACAACTCCGCCAGATCCTACTCTTCTCTGTGAAGCCGTGAAGAGGCTTGTGTCTGCCTTACCCCAACCCCCTGCCCATCCCCCCTGTCTTGGCAGTCAGCAGCAGAGGGGACAATAGAACTCCCCCCACAGATGCTGCCCCTCTGTGCAGCCGTAGCACCCCCTTGTCTTTGCCTCCTCTGGTCTCGGCATTCGTCAGACTCTGGCAGCTGAATCCAGCCCTCCTCTGGTTCTTCTCCAGACCCTGCACTTTCTGCTTCCCAGCTCCACCAGCACAAGGTAAGGGAGGTGCACTGTGATGTAAAAGAGGGTGAGGGAACTTTTGTCTTCTAATGGTGGTGGGGTGGGGGCACTTAACATCTGATATAAGGGAAAGTGGAGTTCTCTGGACATTAGTCTTACAGACACAACTGGCCCTTTGAGGGCAACCATAAAGCTGATGCACCCAGTAATGAAATGGAGTTTGACACCCCTGCTCTAGAGTTTCGGCACTCATAGTGAAGCTCCTTTCAGCAGCAGCCTCTGCCCCCCTCTGTAGTGGTCATTTCCCATTGTGCAGTCCAGGGATTGGGTTTGAATGCGTTAGGTCACCCAGTAGTCGCATGCCTGTATCCTGCCACAGTACAGGTGTGTTAACTCCTCAGTGCCCAGTCCTCTACATGTAAGTGATGACCATTAAATGCCCAGTACTCTGCCCATGAACATTATCTCCTCAGTATTCAGTCCCTAGGCATGCATGTTAACCTCTCAGTGCCAAGTATCAAGCTCATGTATGTAAACCCCTCAGCACTCACTACCCAATGTGTGTGCTTTAAATGCTTAGCGCCTATCCTTTTGCTTATGTGCATTAATCTCTATGCTGACAGTACCCAGTGAATTTAACTCTTAGCAGCTAGCCCCCAGGATATGCATAACACCCACTTTGCACCCAGCGCACATCCATCAACCCCTCAGCACCCAGTCTCCAGCACATGTGCGATAATCTCTCCCAATGATTCCATGGACCACGCCAAATAAAGGTCACATCTCTAACAATTGTGCCACAGTGGGGATCTGAGCTCCAATGCTCCATTTTCTGTTGACACAGTTCCTTAAAACAAAGCCTTGTCCCATCTCCCACATCACTGAATTTTGGGGATTCCTTTTCAACCACTAATTGTCCCCAATTGCACTGACACACTTCTGTTTTAGGATCCTCTCTGCTACCTTCACTGATCACAGTACTGCCAACACAATACTCACCGCCTCCACTGTTCCACAAAAACCTGCTTCAGTTTCCAGGGCCCATTTCGTGGATATGGATTTTTAACAGATCCTGTGTGCTGCTCTATAATTAGTTTAGAAAAATGGAAGCCACATACATTATGAGGCACAATTCCCTACCACCATCATTCACCTGGATGGCTAGGATCATAGTTTTTTTGTGATTTTACCAATAATTGGAAAGATCCGTAACCATCACTTGTGAGTCAAGAGATCAACTTCTTTCCGCTGTCATACCAGCCACAATCCCCTCCTGCACACATTACCCACTGTCATTCTTATGGACACCTCCCTGGCACCTACTGCCATAACTACCATACTCCTCTCCTGCACATTCTGCCCACCGTTTTACTGTCTGTACTCTTCTCCTGCACAAAAATTCACTCTGTATTACTCTCCGCACCCCTCTTCTGTGCATACTTCTTGCTGCCATGCACCGCACGCTTTCCTCCTGCCTATATTGTCCCCAACAAATCCTCTGCACTCATCTACTGCACATTCCCTTCTATCAAAAAATTCAAACTTCTAGGCTTACTACCCCCAATCATACCCTCCGCGATCTTCTGCACATGCTGCCTTATCATAAGCCAACGAGCCGGGTCCTCTGTTTCCTCTTGTACTAAATTGTATTGTAACTGTAATGTCTACCTTCATTTTGTAAAGTGCTGTGCAAACTGTTGGCACTATATAAATCCTGTATAATAATAATATATATTGCACTCCTTTCTTGCACATACTGCCTGTTATAGCTCCCACACTCCTCTCTTGGACATACTGCCTGCTTTCACATGCCCATCTGTAACAGCTCTCCCTGCTCTAACAGGCTTTAATAAGGCATCCAGGGCTATTGGCTCCCACTGCTGTCAGTCAAGCCTTGTGATGAGGGAACAGAGCTGAACCATGCTGTCTTTCTCTATGGACGCAGGCAATGCAGCTGAGGACTGGCCCTGCAGGTGTGCCACCATAGGTTCTTCCTTGAGACACAGATCAAAAGCACAAATATTGTTTTTCCTGTAATATATGAAGATACCTTGTCCATTCGATCTTTCTGTACACCATATTTTCCACCGAATCCCTTGGCATAATCTATAAGCATATCGGCAAATAGGGTGTTAATTGAAAAAGAACGTCACACATTTTGAATAATACATGAAAAAAACAAAAACACAAAAAAAAAAAAAAAAGCAAAAAAAAAAAAAAAAAAAAAAAAAAAAAACGTATTCCAAGACTGATGGGAGACCAATATAGCTTTCATTTGCAACAGACTGCTGCAAGGTGTAGAATTACTAGCTGTTACATTTGAGGCCTAGTAATGGCTGCCATACAGAAAATGTTAAGCCAATTGTGCCACTATAAATAGGAGGAACTAAGGAGTGTGTTAAGAAATGTCAGAAGCACTACAGACCATAAGGGGACTACCCACCACTACAACAAGCGAGCTCAGGTAAGCATTTATTTCATATAGTTTTACAGTGCTTGCCATGTTAGCTATTGTTTGGAAACTGAATGTGTTTGTCCTGACAGGTTTATTCTAAAAGTTCAGAGTGCCGTTTATGCCCCCTCCTCCTGAAAACGCTAGCTTGCCTGGCTGTCATGCTGAGTTTCTTCAAAACTGTCAAACACTGACCCAAGACAAATATGGATAGAAAAAGGCCTCTGAATTTTCTAATCCGCACACAACTGGTTCTTAACTCAAAATGTAATTAAGTTATTGGGCCAGCACTGCAGTTAGCCAACATTTAGATAAGGTAATTAACAGTGGCATCCCCAAATATCTCTCATGAGAGGTTCACTTTAAAGATGAAATCTAGGCATGATATTTTATACATAGTTACATTGGTCCAGCTTGGACCAAGTTAACTATGCATTTACCTTATCTGGTTGATGCCCCCAGAAGCTGGAAATTACTGAAGTAGACATCACTACTCCTGTGATTTCCACTTGCCTCTAAGTCCTGTGCTGAGCTAACTGGCCTGCTGCATTCTGAACACAGGAAGTCATCTGTTCAGCATAGGTATCGTTGAGTGCATGCTTTGTATTTTCCAAATGAATGCAAAGATTTCTCTGCCTGGATGAGTTGGAGAGTGACATCCTCCATCCAATCAGAAACGCTTGGTATTTTCTGAATGAATACACAGCATTCTTTGAATGGCACCAGTGCTGAGTGGCAGGCTTCTTGTGTTCAGTGAGCAGAAGTGCAGATACTCAGCACAAGATCCAGAAGCAGGTAAAGAGCACTGGAGTAAAGGTGTATACTTCAGTGATTTCCAGCTCCCAGGAAGCATTGGCCATGTATGGTATATACATAGTTACATTGGCCCAAACTGGACCAGTGCAACTATGTGTAAAATATCTATACCTGGAATTCATCTTTAAAGATCTTCATGTGGACCGGAACTCAAAAAATGAAGATCTGGGCTCTGTTCTGAAGATCTGTTTATGTAAAACATCCATAAACTAACTGTGCCACTTTTCTCAGGGTTTTCTTAAACTTTAAAGCTATTCTTAATATGTTGAATCAAAAAGCAACTTTTTCTAACTGCGAAAATAGAATTTTACATGCTATATATAACACAAAAGAAATGTAACTATAATCCAATAGCACTCTTTTTTTAAGCCATCAAATTTCAACTGAAAAAAATCTGTGATTAAAATGTATACCAACTGTGAAAACAAGAGATTACTGTATGCACCCGTTAAACTGGGCTAGTCTGGTTATTTCATTGTAAGTGGGTACACTGTTAATTATGTAAGTACGAGTTTTGTTTGAGTTCTACTTTTAGCAAGACTTCAGTCACACATTCATAAAAAAAAAAAAAAAAAAAAAAAAAAAACACTTCTGGGGGAAAAGGTTATGTCAGTTTTTCACCTCTGGCTTTTTTTTTTTCTTTAAATTTTGGTTTCCTCTCTTGAAGACCACTGAGGAAGTGAGTGAAAATCTCACTCGGGGGACACAAAACAAAAACCAAGGAGAGTTTTAACTCTTCCCCACTCTCCCCAGAATGCTGAGGACAGGTTGACTGAAGTCCTTTGACTTTAATCTACCAAATACAAGCTCTTCTGCAACTTTTATGTAATCACCTAATAAAGAGACATTAAGTGACATGCTGGGATAACTCAAACTACTCTTAAAACTGTTCCTAACCCCTCCTAATACATATGCTGACTAACGTGTGTAAGAAAGATGTCAATAATTACCTATTTTCAGCCTGCTCCTGTGAGGTCACGTGATCTGGCTCCCCTGTGTCAGCCAACGCCACTGCAGGGAAGAAGGAATTGCCAACGGATGGGCCATTGAAGCCTAAGGGTAATGTCATGCTTCAAAGCATTACCTGCCATTGTTTGAGCGCTCTCACCTCTCCCCTGCAGCAGGTGCTGGAATATCACGTAACTGGAGAGGCCTGAAAATAGGTAAGAGCACTTTTTTTTTACACACAGGTTAGTCAGCATAAGTGTTAAGAGGGTGGAGAGGACAGTTAAAAAGTAGATGGGGTTATCCCGGAATTCCACTTTAATTCTTGCACCCTGCAAATTACAGGCATGTGTTGATAGGCTTTGGACTTGTGTCAATGACACTGGTTTAATATCAATTCAGAATTCATTGACAGGTGCATTTGATCTGTATCTGACCTGCTTCATGCAGGCTTTGTATTCATAACTGTGTATAGGAAAGCAAAATTGGTTTAAAAAACAAAAGTCCATTGACACAAGTCCCAACTAAATTATGCTCTGGAACACAGCTGCATTCACGATATCCACGCCCAATATATAAATCTACATAGATGCATTTCCACAGATTTTTTTTTTTAATGCAAGTCAATTTATTGAAGGTTGCAGGACAGTCTGTAAAAGTAAATTATAGTAAAAAAACTGAATACCCTAGAAGAATTATCAATGTTTGTTTAGTGTTAAATGCCCATCACATAGTAAAGTGTAGAACAGCCAGTGGACATGAGAAGGTAAGACGAGAACAGACAAAACACAGAATGGTCGGACGTTACAGAATACCTTTTTGGGATTCATGTAGCTGCAGTTTCTCTTGGTGATCCCAGCCAAGTGCACACTTGTCTTGTCTGTCTGTCTGCACACCAAACTTTCCTCCAAACCCTTTCACATAGTCTACACACACAGAAATCCACGAGCCATTAAACAGGAATGAGAGACACCCCATGCACAATTGACAGGTTATGAGTTATTGATGTGTGCTGTTGCTTAGTACTTCATATTAGGAAGGTAACAAGTTTTAGGCTGACCGCATGAAATGGAAATTGCACATGTTCAAACATCTGGAATTATGGTTCACTTCATAAGGCATGAATAACAGGAAAATGTTTGAAATGGAATATAATAAATATAATAGTGAGTGTTAATGAGACTTAAGAGGTATTTTTTTTTATATACATAGCTCTAATGATCCAGCTTGGAACAACGTAACTATGCATAATCCACACCTAGCTGATGCCCCAGAAGCTGGAAATCACTGAAGTAGACACCGCTATTCCAGTGATCTCTACTTGCTTCTGGGTTTTTTGAAGAGGGGGCTGGCCTGCTGCATTGTGAACATAGGTGGGACACTCGGCACGGGTGCCATTCAGAGAATGCTTAGCATTTTCTGAATGAATGCAAAGCATTCACTGATTGAACTAGGTGGATAGCATGACATCACCACCCTACCTCTCCCACCTCGTCCAATCAGTCAATGCTTTGCATTTCATTCAGAAAATGCAAAGCTGAGCAGCCAATCTGTGTTCAGAGTGCTACAAGCCAGCTGCTCGGCGCAGGACCCAGAAGTAAGAAGCAAGTGGAGATCATGGAGTAGCAGTGTTTGCTTCAGTGAGTTTTCATCTTCCAACGGCATCGACCATGTATGGTATATACATAGCTACAGTGGTCCAAGCTTGACCAATGTAACCATGTATAAAATATCTAGAATCCCTCTAAGTTTTTGTTTTTGGGTTTTTTTCTGCTTTAAGGAAAGAGCAAAACACCAGCACAACTAGAACTATTGCATTTGTTGGGGAGAGCTGAGGATTTCTTCAATACTTGTAAAACATATCCAGAATGTGATTCAACTCTTTAGCACCCGCACAAAACTGAAATATCAATTTACTAGATGGGTTGGCTTTTAACTACCAAAGTCTTTGAAAATATAGATTTTGGGTAAACTAATATTAAAGTTAAAAGTAGGAATGCATCAATATACTTTTTTTTTTTTTTTTTTTTTTTTTTTTTTTTTTTTTTTAAATCAGTGGTCAAGTACTCGCCAATACTGAGTACTGATACTTTGCGGTGCAATTTGCATCCATACAAAATAAATGGGTCAAATTGCACTGCAAAGAACAGCATACGATTTGAACAGGAATGAGGTGCGTTTCCTATCCAAATTGCATGTGGTTTCCCCACCACTCCTGTGTGACCCCAGGCTTGTTATAGCCTGAGTTTACACAGGAGTGGAGCTGTAAACCTCCCTGCACCAATCCTATGCGGTCACACAAGCAAAAGCCACTTCACAGGTCTGGGGATTTGAAATCCCACAGCTTTCTCTTCTCTCCTTGCAGCGGGCTAGACAGCTTCTGATTGCTCAGCACCCTCTCGGTGCAGGGACGTTTCCCGTACCGCTCCTGTGTAAACTCAGGCTGGGTTCACACAGGAGCGGTGGGGAAACCACATGCGATTTCAACAGGAATCGCACTTTATTCCTGTTCATAACGCATCCTGTTCTTTGCAGTGCAATTTGCGCCCAATCATTTTGTATGGACGCAAATCTCACCGCAAAGTATTGGTTTCGGGAGCATTTTCACGAGTACTCATGAAAATACTCGGTATCACTACTGATACCGATATCAGTGCATCCCTAGTTAAAAGTTTCCTGTTCCATACCACCAAATAAATGATCGAATGGTAGATTTAAGCAGAGTACAGCAAGTTGTCGGCCTATTGCAATTTCCATTTCACCAATCAGTAGAAAGAACCTGGTAGATACCAAGTCTCTTTCCAAAGGACAAAGAAAAAGTTTCAAAGAGATCACATGATATAAGGGGACACACCAAGCATGAGAATGAGGAGGACCAATGTCATTAGTTCTTTCCTCCACCTTGCCACCAAGCAGAATACTGGAATGTTACAGTTGGTTTGTAAACATGAAGAAAAAGAAACCGGCAGCAGGAACCATAGAGGATGACATCTGACAGACTAAAAAGGTCTGTTTCTCCAAGTCTCAGTCAGTGATGGCAGCATTGTACATTTGCATATTGATGAAATGTATTTTTAAAATATAAGGATCTGTTATCCCCAAGCTCTCTGACTAAACAATTATGAACAGAACAGGTTACTTCTATGCTTCTTAGAGAAAGATTGAGATATCAATGTAGGCATGTGCCCAAAAACTTTTTTTGAAATTGTTCCAAGACTGGTTAGAGATTCTGGGATTAGCCCCACCTCAGCTAATATCTCAACTACTGCAATTGAAATAATCATGAAGACATCCTCTTCCAATGTGCTAATGTTGGGGGTTAAGCAGGAGTCCAAAACTTCTTGAGAGTAGAATGCTGAACCTAATGTCTGAGTTTGTAAGCTTTATGTGTCTTGTATTGTATTTTTGTTGAAAATATATTTTCTGTGCCTATATGGGAAGGTGGGATATGGGAAGGTGGGATATGGGAAGGTGGGATATGGGTATTAAACGGTTTTAATAGCTCCAAAACAAGCTTATTTGATCAAAAACAAAAAATTATAGAGATCTGAATTTGGGCAAAGGTGCTCAAAAAGCTCCTTTGGAGACAGTCATCCCTTAGAGTCTTTCAAACAATGGGCAGAACACTGGAGAACACCTTTAAATGGTCAGCAGATGTAAAGAACTTAGGTTTTGCAATTCTATGCCAGCCACCTAGAAAGTTTAAATTTGCTAATTTTAGCTACAGTAAAATACATTTTGAAGATATCATTGGACCTCAAACCTCTATAGTGTGCATGTAAAAAAAAAAAAAAAAAAGTGTATATATATATATAAATAAAATCTTAAATCGCATGCCCGATGAAGGGGTCCTGCGTGGCTCCGACACGTTGCATTTGCTTATCTGTGATGTGATCATTTTTCAATAAACATTTGGACTCAATTTAAAGATCTGTGATGTGCTGGCAAATATCTTCAAAATGGTTAGCAAAGCACTGACACTCGGCTCTGAATAAAAATACAGGTGGAAGGCACACAATGATGACATCATTAGTGTGCGGTTTTTCATTTACAGGCCAATCAGGTTAGGGGGAAGAGTGGTGACTAAGCTTAACATCTACAGTCCTTTTTTCTATAGTCACCAGATGGGAAGTACATTACCATAATTGCATGGGTAGGCATGTGTTGAATTGTGCTCATGTAGAATGAATAAGGTAGGGCATGGGATACTCAGGTTACAATTGGAGTCTGCAGGAACAGGATTGGAAAGCTGGTTCCCAGTTGAGTAGCTAGCTTGTTCAATTTATGAGACATAAACAGGGGGAAGTGCATATTAAAAAAAAAAAAAAAAGGGGGGGGGGGAATACATGTTCATCAACTGCCACCACTGACCACACAAATCAAAACCACCATGTTAAGCACAAAATAAATAACCCAAGGAAGTTAAGTTTTTTTCATGTTAAGTGTTTTTCTCCATACAAGAAAAGAAAGTTTTCTACATATATTCACTTATTTCCAAACATCTTCCAATGTTTGCATTTCAAGTTTCATGTCCATCCACACATGGTACATTTATGGGTGGAATGTGACCTTGGCACTGCTATAGGCCAGAGGAGCTGTAGGAAACAAATTGTTATGGATACTAAACCTTTTTGTGATTCATGCTTCTCAGTCTTCCCTTGGTAGTCAAACCCGACAGCACTCTTGTCCACATTGTCCTTATCAATACCATATTTACCACCAAAGCCTCTGGAATAATCTAAAATTTTAAATAAATGTAAAATCAAAATATGGAATTTGGGTCATTATAGAGTAAGCAAGAATTAGTAACCTAGAAGGATGTGTTTTATCAATGGTTTCGGCTTGGCCTTTAGCTATGAAACTGAAATACAGTGTTTGCATAGTGTGTTTGGTATAGCCAGTTATCGGTATTTTATTGGGGAAACTGTACCCTGTTCTGAACAAGTTAAAGCGATTCTAAAGGTTCATTTTTTTTTGTAAAATAACAAAATGTGTCTATACTTACCTGCTCTGTGTAGTGGTTTTGCACAAAGCAGCCTGGATCCTCCTCTTCTCGGGTCCCCTGTAGGCTCTCATTGCTCCTGTCTGTTGGGTACCCCCACAGCAAGCAGCTTGCTATGGGGGCACCAGCTGCTCTGTGTGTCTATTCACACAATGAGCTGCGGCTTGGCCCCACCCTCTCTTCTCAATGGCTGACTGGCTTGACTGACAGTAGCGGGAGCCACGGGCTGAGACCGGAAGAGGGAGCAAATTAGGAGACAGGAACCCGGGACAGCCAAGGCTGTTTATTCACATTGCTGGATCACGATGGGGCTCAGGTAAGTATTGAGGGGGCTGGGGGAGCTGTTGCACACAGAAGGTTTTTTACCGTCATGCATAGAATGCATGAAGGTAAAGAATCTTAAGCCTTTACAACCACTTTAAGGCTTAGGGCTATACAACACAGTGAGACCTCAAGAATACAGTTGTAAATGGATGTGTTAAAGTGACTTTCTATATCTATATAAATCACACAAAAAACAAACCAACACAGAAAAAACCCTGCTGCCTGAACCATCAACATTGAACACTTCTAGGTGTCTCAGATGCATGCTCCCCTGGCTGTGCACTTTGGATGCTCCTGCTGGCCCCTATGTTTTCTGCAGTGATGTAGGGGCCAGCAGATGGAACCACAGTGCACTGCGGGGACCTTGGCAACACTCCTTGAACTGTCAGATTCTGAACACACTCTGCCAAAGGCTGTGACTCTTAATAATGACAAATCCACAAAATGAACGTGGATAGGTATAAGCATTTTTTTTCTAATTCTGCACAGAGCTTTAAAATGTATTTACTATTATAAAAAAAAGCTGCTTTAATCACTCTCAAAATATCAGGTACAACACAATAACAAATCCATTTGTGGACCAACCTTTTTGAGACTCATGCTTCTCGGTCTTCCCCTGATAATCGAACCCTACAGCACTTTTGTCCACACGGTCTGCCTGCACACCGTACTTCCCACCGAAACCAGTAGAATAATCTGTGGGATTAAAAAAGCATTAACTGAATAAGACTTGGAGAGAGATTTTCCCTTTTTGCATGTGGTCTCATTTGGCTGTACTTCTGAGGATCACAGGAGTGAGGTTCGTTCTGCACTCCTGTGACCCGTTTTCAGCTGACAACAGGCTGAAGCCTGCTGCAGGCTGATGTCACTCAGCCATGTTGTCATATATCAGTTATGTGGAAGTCCACACAGAAACTGCCAATAAGACCGTGTATTTATAAATGTATTTTCCTGCAGCAACTAGTCCAACAGTTCTTTTCCAGAGAGATGAATTTTTAACCGTTTCAATACCGTGCAATTTTACACCTTCCTGCCCAGGCCATTTTTTCAGGTTTCAGCGCTCTCACACTTTGAATGACAATTGCGCGGTCATACAACACTGTACCCAAACTAAAATTTTATCATTTTCTTCACACAACTAGAGCTTTCTTTTGGTGGTATTTAATCACCGCTGGGTTTTTATTTTTTGCTAAATTAACAAAAAAAGACCAAAAATTTTGAAAAAAAAAACACATTTTTCTTTGTTTCTGTTATAAAAGTTTACAAATAAATAATTGTTCTTCATAAATTTAGGCCGAGATGTATTCTGCTACATGTCTTTGGTGAAAATAACCCATATTAGGATGTATTTTTTAGTTTGTAGGAAAGTTATAGAGTTCATAAACTATGGTATAGATCTGAATATTGATCAATCCTGAAGTACTGACAGCCAATCTAATTTCTTGAGGTCCAAGAATGTCAGAATAGTACAGATATCCCCAAATGACCCCTTTTTGCAGAGTAGACAGTCCGACGTACTTCATAAGAGGCATGGCGAGTTTTTTGAAGTTGTATTTTTATGTCATAATTTTTTGGAAAATGAAAAAATTAAAAAAATTATTTTCACTATTTTTTTTTTTTACATACTGTCACCAGTGCAGTACAGCGTCATATAACTGGCATGGCGGTTAACAGGGACACTGACTGGTGACAGTATGAAAAAAAAAAAATATATATTTTTTTTTTTTATTATTATATTTAATTTTTTATTACATTTTTTTTAAGATTTTTTTTTCATATTTTACTATGACCAAAGTAGTACAATGTTACCATAGTAACACTGTACTACTTTGGGGAAGTGATCAGTATTTTTTTTTTTTTTTTTTTTTACACAATTTGCTTATAGCAAAGAATTACTTTGCTATAAGCAAGCATTTACCTGAATGAAATCGATTCATTCAGTTTTTTTTTTTTTTTTTGTGCTTAGCTGTGATTTGGTCACAGCTAATCACATGACATGTGCATGTGATTAGCTGTGACCATTCACAGCTAGGCACTAGTATACAATGGATGGCATCATGAATGAAGCCATCCATTGTATACAACTGTCATGTGACCTGCTGTGATTGGTCACAGCAGGTCACATGGTACCAGCAACGGGAGCCGGTACTCGGATCTGTCATCGGCCGTGTCCGAGGTGCACGGCCCGTGACAGATCCCGCTGCTGCGCCGCTCTGCATTACCAAATGGCGTGCACCTGGAATGAAGAGGCACATCTGAAGCCGCCAAACGGCCATTGGCCAGGAGGCTAATGGTTAATCAGCTCAGAGACAATCCATAAAACACAGGTACAGACAAGGCAGATGACAGGGTACTTTGAAGGTGTCTGATGACTGCATGAATATTCTGAGAACCCACTTTCTCCTGTCACAACTCAACCAAAACACCTTCCCTAATATACATGTTTTCCCATGTATATTGGAGCAATCTGAATGGTTGGTTTTATGAGCATGTTTGCTCTTATGGATTTCAAACAAACAATGTATCTAGACCTACAACAGCTGTATGCCTAGATTTTAATTAAAAAGTTAAATAGATACTCCTTGTCTTGTTTATGGCAAAAACTGCAATCTTCAACATACTTATACAAAAGTGGACACGACACCCACGTTAAAATTGTCTTCAGCATAAACAAGTACACTCTGAATATCTAAGACCTTTCCAAATCTAATCAGACAAACTTGCATTTTACAATGCTGGTAGATTTGCAAACAACCTGCTGTGAAACTCCCCGACTCTCCACATATTTATCCAAAAACAGGTTAACCCAACATAGCAAAGGGAAGGTAATTGCCTCATGCATAAAGTAACACAGTAAGGAGCCCCTGGCTATCCTTTTGGTCAATAGCAGGAATATACACTATATATATATATATATATATATATATATATATATATATATAATATATAAATAAATAAAATCTACATCTATAACTCTTACAAGCCGGTCCAGGCTGGGGAAAGATCACGACTTTTAAGTCGGGATCCACCCCAGAGTATGGAGCGGCACCTGGCTCGTCGTCTCAGAGAGCCGCTGAGAGCCTGAGCCACTCTCTGCTCAGAGCGGCTATGAGAACTCAGAAATCAGCGGTCATGTAAATCGCTGAGTTCTCACCCTTAGAATTGGCGAGGGAAAGTTGCAGCATCGAACTGATGCTACATCCGCCTAGGTAAGTATAAATTTAAAAAAAAATTAAAGAACGCCATACTTCTTTTTTTAATGCAGAACTACAGGCAAATATATAAAAACAAATAATTCTCACATGAATAACTCAAATGAGGTATGCAAGCATTATCAAAACATTAACTGGAGGAAAGCCAAAAGTGGTTAATGTCACAGGAAAAACTGTGGCAACCCCAGGAAAATGTCACTTGTAGTTTATGTAGCAGTGATGAGCCCAATAAGGCTCTCCACTAGCTGAGCAATTGTCAGAGGCTGATTATGATTGTGTGATGAAAAAAACAAAAACAATGAAACCCTAAAAATGAGGCTGAAATTAAATCAATCAATCCAAGAGTATACATCTAATAAATGATATAAATTTAAACAGTGAAATAGTAGTATGGATATAATAATATCTAAATGAGGGTAGCCCAGATTAAACAACAGTCCAAAAGCTGCTATAATTAGGAGGATGCTGTGCTGCTGAGTTGCGTGGGCTGACGCTGCAAACCTGAGTAAAACAAGCAAGGAGAGAGGAGTGAGTGCACACCCCACAGGTTGATAAAGAAGCAGGATTGCTTTGAAACTGGTCCCTGTATTTTGGGGTACACAGTGATAACAGGAGGATTTTAGTTCTTGGACTTGAGACTTTGCAGCAGCTCCATCCACCTCTGCCAGCAGTGTCATTTCAACTTCAGCCCATGCTTCCCCCAAGCCAGTGGCCAAAGTGGGGATCTGGGATAACTCACACAATGATGCTTATCCTCCAAGTCACCTGACAAGCCTCTATACCCTACAGTTGTTTGTGAGTGCAACTATTTAAATTTTATTTTGTCCATTAAACTTCCTTATGCATGCTACTCCATGGGGTATGTGCTCCTCTCTCTCCTTTCTTGTTCAAGACCCACTTTCTCCTGTCACAACTCAACCAAAAAAAAACCTTCCCTAATATACACCTTTTCCCAATGAACAAAGTGTGGAGCAATCTGATTGGTTGGTTTCATGAGCATGGTTGGTTTCACACCTATAATAGACAGGTTCCTGAATCTGTCTGTCTCATTAGAGGGATGTTTAGTGGTGTGGGCAACAGGAGTAGGAAAGTATAGCAACAGGCTTGCTTTAGAAAAATGCAGCACACAGCTGTAATTTTCTCTTGGCATATAAATAATTTAAAAAGCTGACAAAAAAAAAAAAAAAAAAACACAACTAGCTTTTGTAATATTCCAAATAAGGCATCAATTACTTTTTCTTGCATTGAAAAAGCAGCTACTATGCCATCCAGGATCGGACAAAGAGAAAATATGTCTTCAAGCCTCACCACCCCTCCATGCTTAATGAAGACTGACAGCTCAGAGCTTTCACCAGTTTTTTTTTTTTTTTTATTTGGTCCAGGCCTCAGTATAGTCTAGAATGGATAAGGGTCTACATGAAGATCCTATTTTAATTTTCAAGTGCCTCTTAGAGGCATGTGTGATGCAGTATGCTTAGATTTTTAGTTTCTGTTCTCTAGCTAGAAGGCTGCAGGTTTCTATGACTAGCACAGACTGAAAATCTGCAATATGAGTCAAGTCAGAAAATATTGTTTTAACTTGTGATGAACACACAGTGATGTCTTATTTGTGTTCAAGTGTTCTTTTGTGCATTCCTGGGAAGAGCGATGCCCCTCACTACTTGACAGGGTTACAGGAGGCCAACCCTTGCTGCAGGCTAGTTGTCATGAATCACGTTTCTCGTTTTGACACAAACCTTTCTGGGATTCATGCTTCTCCGTTTTGCCCTTGTAATCAAAGCCAACGGCGCTTTTATCCACTCGGTCAGACTGAACTCCATATTTGCCCCCGAAGCCGCTAGTGTAATCTGAAAGGCATTGAGTATTGTTATGCAACAGCTTTAGACATTTACAAAATGAAAAACACAAAATAAATATTCTCTAGATCCATTTTAATACAATTAACCTTAGCAGCAAATTTCTTGTTCAAAGATGGTATAATTGTAGCACAGTTAAAAATATAAACGTTCCTTTAAGTACTGGCCAACATAAAGCAGGTAGGCCACACTCATAGCAGAACCAAAGTTTGCCATATTTACCTCTACTCCAACAGTCCGACGATCATAAGGCCCCTGCTGGCATCAGTACCTTCTTCCAGGAGTCGGCCATCAGCTGTACCTTGGCCGGGGCAGGATGACTTGCACATGCACAGGAGTTTTGTCATTTTGACATGCAAACACTGGGAAGACACTATGCGCAACTTGGTGTACATAAGGAATGCGATTAGGCAGGAACGTTTATTTTATTGCAAAATAGGCATTGCAGGTCTCTGCTGCAATAAAGCCTGTCTGCCTAAACTCAAGGAAGGATTATTTACATACTCAAAAACAGCCTCCTAAGAAAATACACTGCAGTTCCATATTAAAAAGAAACAAAAACATCTATCTAGAAACACTAACTTCTTTTGGGATCCAAATGCCACCAACAGCCCCAGAGGTACAAAAAAATTATAACATGAAGCATTCCTGTGTAGCCTAACCCTCTTTCCTCTACATGCAATAATAGATGAAAAAGCACATCCCTTTCCTTCCAATGTCAGTCTCCCCTTCAGCCACCAAGTGATGTTGTGCATATAGCATGCATGTAATCGGCAGCACCACTATGAAGCCAGGACTCAATATGACGACAACCAATTATGCTGGCTGCCAGAGGAGCTTATCTGTATAAAGAGGACTCTGGAAGATTAAAGCAGCAACAGACCATACATAAGGCCAATTAAATATATATTTAACCCCGGGGGGGGGGGGGGGGAGGGGGGGGGGGGGGGGGGGGGGGGGGGGGGCATTGATGTTAAATGTTTGCTCTTTTGTATGGTCTGTGTATTTAAAAAATATTTTGATTAAGTATTAAAAGAAACATTTTGCATAATAACGTTGGTATTTTAGGTTTTATTAATTGGTACACTGTCCAGGAATATCTCATAGCAAGGGGTATTTTTGTACTCTTATTTCCATTTAAATTTATACAATTTTGGCTAAATTGTTTTTATTTTTTTTAGTACAACATTTAAATACTGCATTTAATTAACATTCTTACTTTCCCTGTCCAAAGTGACATGGTCTCCTTGTGGGAGGAGAACTCACCTCCCAGCAAGGTAAACCCGCCAATCTGCACTCCCTTGCCACTTCCTTGCTCTGTTGCTTGAATTGAGCAGGGCTTCCAGGTTTGGTAGCATAAAATTTCCTCCAAGTGACCCAACTGGCCAGTTGTCAGACCCAAGCACTGTCACGTGAGAGAACAGAGACCTTATTCACAATGGCGCCAACGCAAGGTAGACTGATACAGCAAGGAAGTGTGAATCAGTAAATATACATTTCTGTGGGTATGAAGAGGCTTTCACTGTTTAATCTGACACAGGGTACACAGTCTATATCTGCTAAAAATCTCTAAATATCACCGCCACTCATCTTGGTCAGCTGCTTACCTTACTAAATCTTTGTAAATACCGCCATTCTTTTCTGAATTAACCTGAATCTGAGTTCACAAAACAGTAACTTTCCTCTGTCCCAAACACCAGAAACAGAGCCTACCTGTGTAATTATACATGGATATGGCTCTTTTGTGTACATGGTACATATATTTACAAACTATACACAGAACTGTTCGTAAAACATTTATAAAAAGTGATTTACACACATACAGTAGTTACATTAAAGAGGCCCTGTCACTAAATTGCAGGTAAAAGCACAGAAAACAAATCTATTTTACATCATTACTTGGAGTGTTTTTCTTTTACATAAATACGTTATATATCTGCAATATGTTATTGAACTAGCTAGAAAATTTGCCTACACCAGGAAGAGTTAACTTCCTATCACAGGCCCCTTCCTCCTTGTATGTCATAGGCCTCTTCTCTTCTGGGCACATCCAATTACTCTCTGTGCTGACCCAGCTCCCTTCATCTCCCTACATAACCTTTTATGTAGCGGCCATAGAAGTAGCAAAGGAGAATACTATAAGCGGTCGCTTGAGTGACAGCTCTGGGGGCTGCTGACATAACATCCAAGATAGAAGAGGGCAGCAGCCACCAACCTTTTAGGATACTTTAAATGCACATATAATCTTATAGAAAGGCTTTTGTTGAAATAAATGGTCTAGTGACACGGTCTCTTTAAATAAACTCTTTCACCCTGCATTTTGGAGAAAAAAAAAAAAAACAAAAAAAACTAAAATTGGATAACAGCTCCCACTTTTACATCTCTTGAACTTGCTGTGCTGCTCTGAACTACTGCAGAAAAAATTAAAGTTGGGTTTACCCCCTTCATGATTAAGCCCCAGGGGCAAGGTGAAACACGCTGGGGTTGTGGCCTTGATGGACCGGGTGAGGTGTGCAGCAGTCAGAAAACCTCCACTCATTTTGCTTGGGTTACTACCCTTGTTAGTCCTCCCTAAAAACCACAACTGAGAATCATTAATATGGTTTTGTGCTGTTCAGTCTGAATCCAATGATCTATGTCACGGCAAGATGCAGCCCATCCAGGGTCTCTGAATCAAACAACCCAGCTGGCATTTCAAGAAAATACAGGACAAGGCCAAAACATTTTTACATTTAGACTAAAAGCCCTAATATTTAGGGACACTGGCTATGTGCCTACACGGAATTTTCCAACGCCAAGCTAATCTACACACTTCCTGAGGCTATTAAAAAGTAAAGTGCAAGAATTGGCAAGAGCTTGCTTTAAGTCTGGATAGAGTGAAGAAGTGTAAAACCATCTGAAGGATTTTTTTTGCTGTCGGTGTCCCTCCGGGAAGATGCATACTTGTCCTGAAGATCACTGTCACTGACAGAAAGTGAAGAGAAATTCTTTGTAGAGCTGCCATGATATGAACTAAAAGGGAAACATTGCCACTGGTGAACAGACAACAAAAAAGTAACCTGAAAGGGGATTTTTTTAACCCTACCCCCCTTCCAAAATATTTTGGCTATATGTGCACTTTAAAGACACTTTAGGAGTGCAAATCTTACTTGGTCTACCTGGCTCCAGGATTAAACCTCCTTTGGCAATTTGGAGATATACCTCAAGTATGCAAACATATAGTATATCCACACACAGATATTTATCTTTATTAAAAACTCTCACTTTTTTGCAAAAGCATGGTAATATGAAACACAAGCAATGGATCAGACCAGTTCACCAAGCAATGGATCAGACCAGTTCAAGCCCCTTTCTAAGCTAGAAGGTTGTGTTTTAGTGTGCAGAGTGCTCCTATCCTTCTAAAATGACTAGAACATTGCTGTTTTGTACAGCCATATATTTGCAATAAAGTGAGAAAGTGCAGATGTACTGTGTGTTTGTTTAGACTTTAATAGCGCTTTGAAGATCCAAGCATCACACTGTCATTCTCATCTAAATGTTTGCTCAAGGGACACAAAAGGGGGTTGAGGAAAAAAACCACATACATGTAACATGTAGCACATACACACACATCTTCTCACCTTTCTGGGATGCATGTTTTTCTGTCTTCCCTTGATATTCAAAGCTCAAAGCAGACTGCAAGAGATCAAAAAGGATCACACAGGGCAGATCATTAAGAAAAAAAGGAAAGAAAAAAAATTAATAGAAAAGGGTAATACTAACGATTCAAAATAAGGTCCCTGTTGTGCAGTTTACAGTAGAAATCTGCCAGACATACATATATGCATGTATATTTACTGTTTTATGCACCAAAGGCGTTTTTATTCTGTGAATCCAGTTTTGGGATTGAAACGTTATGGCACATCCAGGAAGGTTACACATTTATCTCTTGGCTCAGCAATCCAGCTTATGTCACTTGACAATCTCAGGTTTATTCCTTGGTCAATATATTGGCATCCTCACCTTTAGTTCAGAGCAGGGAGGTGACCAGGATATAGAAAACCATAACAGGAATAGCATAGTAACTTGGCTGTTCACTGTGGTAGATATGTACGCAAATCATTTGGCAGCAAAAAGAGTGAATGAATATGAATACACACACACAAATTTAAGAAACACTTTTTAATCAAAGTATGGCAGCAAGCCAATTTAACTTCTGGGATATTGATCTAGTCAGTTAAGTAGCAGAGGGGGTTGTTCATCTGTTTCAGCTGCTTTGGTGTTAATGACATTAACAGGTGCGCTAAATGGGAAACAATGAGACGACCCCCAAAACAGGAATGGTTTTACAGGTGGAGGCCACTGACATTTTTTTTCCTACTCATCTTTTCTGTTTTTGCATTTGGCCAGGGTCCGTGACACTAATCGTAGCATGAGGAATTATCTGGACCCTACAGAGATTGCACAGACAGTCCAACTCCTCCAGGATGGCACATCAATACATGCCATTGCCAGAAGGTTTGCGGTGTCTCCCAGCACAGTCTCAAGAGAATGGAGGAGATTCCAGGAGACAGGCAGTTACTCTAGCAGAGCTGGACAGGGCCGTAGAAGGTCCTTAACCCATCAGCAGGACCGGTATCTGCTCCTCTATGCAAAGAGGAACAGGATGAGCACTGCCAGAGCCCTACAAAATAACCTCCAGCAGGCCACTGGTGTGAATGTCTCTGACCAAACAACCAGAAGCAAACTTCATGTGGGTGACTTCAGGGCCCGACGTCCTCTAGTGGGTCCTGTGCTCACTACCCAGCACCATAGAGCTCTATTGGCATTTGTCAATGAACACCAGAATTGGCAGGTCCGCCACTGGCGCCTTGTGCTTTTCACAGATGAGAGCAGGTTCATCCTGAGCACGTGACAAGACGTGGAAGGGTCTGGAGAAGCCGTGGAGAATGGTTATGTTGCCTGTAACATTGTTCAGCATGACTATTTTGGTGGTGGGTGAGTGATGGTCTGGGGAGGCATATCCATGGAGGGACGCACAGACCTCTACAGGCTAGACAATGGCACCTTGACGGCCATTAGGTATCGGGATGAATTTCTTGGACCCACTGTCAGACCCTACGCTGGTGCAGTGGGTCCTGGGTTCCTCCTGGTGCATGGCAATGCCCGGCCTCATGTGGCGAGAGTATGCAGGCAGTTCCTGGAGGATGATGGAACTGATACCATTGAATGGCGCCCACGCTCACCTGACCTAAATCCAATAGAACATCTCTGGGATATCATGTTTTGGTCCATCCAACGCCACCAGGTTGCATATCCGGCTGTCCAGGAGCTCAGTGATGCCTTGGTCCATATCTGGGAGGAAATACCCCAGGACACCATCCGTGGTCTCATTAGGAGCATGCCCCAACATTATAAAAGGCATGCATACAAGCACGTGGGGGCCATACAAACTACGGCAGGCATGTCCAAAGTCCGGCCCGCGGGCCATTTACGGCCCGAGGGTCGGTTTAATACGGCCCTCCATGTCAGTGTGTCTTATGGAGCGAATATGGAGCGACCGGTCCGGTATTTCCACCGCAGCCGTGTCAGAATACCGGGCCGGCCGCTCAGCTCTGCAGCGGGACCTTACCTGTTCCTCTATCCAGCGGCGCGCTGTCTTCCCGGCTTCTGTAGTGTGGGCGCTGGGCATGACAGCCGGGTGCCAAGTGTGCATGCGCAAGAAGCGATGCTTTTTGTGAATGGTAAGGCGGTACCTGGGACACATGACAGATCCCAGAAGCCGCCGGACCAATCACAAAGCGCAAGTGCTTCTCGCTCATGCGCACTGGGCACCCGGCTGTCATGCCGAGCGCCATTACAGAAGCCGGGAAGACAGCACGCGGCTGGATCGAGGAACAGGTAAGATCAAAGAACAACTGCGGAAGTAAGAGCGGGTACCTGTCAAATTCAGGTACCCGCTCCCCACCTCCCCAAAGGTCAGCAGTCATCTGTACTGTCCGCAGTCTCTGGTCATCCCTGTGCTGTCCGCAGTCTCTGGTCATCCCTGTGCTGTCCGCAGTCTCTGGTCATCCCTGTGCTGTCCGCAGTCTCTGGTCATCCCTGTGCTGTCCGCAGTCTCTGGTCATCCCTGTGCTGTCCGCAGTCTCTGGTCATCCCTGTGCTGTCCGCAGTCTCTGGTCATCCCTGTGCTATCGCGCAGTCTCTATGGTCATCCTTTTTGCCCGGCTTGGAAACATTCTTGCTTTCATCCTACTGCTATCCGCAGTCTCTGGTCATCTCCTGTACTGTGTCTGCAGTCCATTAGTTCAGAATTTTTTTTTTCTAGTTCCTCATTGTGAAATTCTGATTTTTCTGCCTCTAAAAACCTAGGTGCGTCTTATGGTCAGGTGCGTCTTATACGGCGAAAAATACGGTAACTTGGCATAAAATAATTTATTTGCATTTAATTGTAATGGTTCAAAGAATGTTTGGAAAAATGTTCGGCCCTCCACCATGTTCACTTCATCCAATCTGGCCCTCTTTGAAAAAAGTTTGGACACCCCTGAACTACGGAGTACCATTTTGAGTTGCTGCAATGAAATTTCAGCAAAATGGACTAGCCTGCTGCATCGTTTTTTTACTTTGATTTTCTGGGTGTCTGAATTCAGTCCTCTGTAGATTGCTAATTTTCATTTCCAGCAAACGATGGGGCATCCTTACATTCCTCACACATTACCCAGTCCAAATCAGTATAGATATCCAGCATGATAAATTTTTCCCTATTGAGATCTGATGTGTTTTCAAAGTGTAATTCTTATGTATGTAATAAGGTGACACCCCAACTAAAACAAATTTTTATTAAAAAAAGACAGCAAAAAGTCTTGTTAAAGTGATTGCAAAATTATATTTAATTTTCTTCTTTTATTTAAATTTAAAATATGGTATACTTACAATGCCTTGAAAAAGTATTCATACCCCCTTGAAATTTTCCACATTTTGTCATGTTACAACCAAAAACGTAAATGTATTTTATTGGGATTTTATGTGATAGACCAACACAAAGTGGCACATAATTGTGAAGTGGAAGGAAAATGTTAAAAACTGGTTTCAAAATTTTTTACAAATAAATATCTAAAAAGTGTGGAGTGCATTTGTATTCAGCCCCCTTTACTCTGATACCCCTAACTAAAAGCTAGTGGAACCAATTGCCTCTAACTAGAGTCTACCTGTGTGTAATTTAATATAAGTATAAATACAGCTGTTCTGTGAAGCCCTCAGAGGGCTGTTATAGAACATTAGTGAACAAGCAGCATCATGAAGGCCGAGGAACACACCAGACAGGTCAAAGAGAAAGTTGTGGAGAAGTTTAAAGCAGGATTAGGTTATAAAAGAAATCCCAAGCTATGAATATCTCATGGACCACTGTTAAATCATCCAAAAATGGTAAGAGTATGGAACCACTGCAAACCAACCAAGACATGGCCATCCACCTAAATGGACAGGCCAGGAAAGGAGCGCATTAATCAGAGAAGCAGCCAAGAGGCCCATGGTAACTCTGGAGGAGCTGCCGAGATCCACAGCTCAGGTGGGAGAATCTGTCCACAGGACAACTATTAGTGGTGCATTCCACAAATCTGGCCTTTATAGAAGGAGTGGCAAAAAGAAAGCCATTGTTGAAAGAAAGCTATAAGAATTCTCATTTGCAGTTTGCGAAGAGCCATGTGGGAGACGCAGCAAATATGTGGAAGGTGCTCTGGTCAGAGACCAACATTGAAATTGTTGACCTAAAAGTAAAATGCTAGGTGTGTGGTGGAAAACTAGCACTGCACATCACCCTGAACACACCATCCCCACTGTGAAACATGGTGGTGCCAGCATCATGTTGTGGGGATGCTTTTCTTCAGCAGGGACAGGGAAGCTGGTCAGATTGATGGGAAGATGGATGGAGCTAAATACAGGGCAATCTTGGAAGAAAACCTGTTTAGAGTCTGAAAAAGACTTGAGACTGGGCCCGAGGTTCACCTTCCAGCAGCACAACGACCCTAAACATACAGCCAGAGCTACAATGGAATGATTTAGATCAAAGCATATTCATGTGTTAGAATGACCCAGTCAAAGTCCAGACCTAAAACCAATTGAGAATCTGTGGCAAGACTTGAAAATTGCTGTACACAGACGCTCTCCTCCAATGTGACAGAGCTTGAGCTATTTTGAAAAGAAAAATGGGCAAAAATGCTACTCTCTAGATGTGCAAAGCTGGTAGAGATATCCCCAAAAAGACTTGCAACTGTAATTGCAGCAAACAGTGGTTCTACAAAGTACTAACTCAGAGGGGCAGCGCCACACTTTTCAGATATTTGTAAAAAAAAAAATTTAAAAACATTTATCATTTTCCTTCCACTTCACAATTATGTGCCACTTTGTGTTGGTCCATCACATAATTTTTTGACTGTAACATGAAAAAATTCTGAAGCCTCCTGCTGGTGCTGTCCACGCCTCCTTCCTCCGTGTGCCCCCTCAAGAAGCCGTGTGTGTTGAGGGGGCTCCCATGCGAATGTGCTACTGAGCCAGGCTGTGTGCATCCATAGAGACACACAGCACAGTTAAACTCCAGTGAGGAGGAAGCGGAGGCATAGCTTGACTGACAAGTCGAGAGCTACGGCTCCCAGAATTTGGTGAACTTATTTGGGATATTCCCATGTTGAAAAATCATGCACTCCTTCAGGAGTTAACAAATACGAAAGTCTTCAAATGTAGGGAGATTTGGGGAGATCCACTATAAAGATATACGTTTGTGGGCAAGGAGTAAGTCTGGAGACTGGGATCCCAACCTCATTTGAATATTATTATTATTATTATTATTATACAGTATTTATAAAGCGCCAATAGTTCGCTCAGCGCTGTACATTACAAAGGGAGACAGAACATGTGACAGAACAATACCAATACAATGCAAAACATGAGGGGATCAAGGGCCCTGCTCTTTCGAGCTTACAATCTAGGAGGGAGGGGGTGGTGGCACAGGAGGAGATAGCTGTGGGGGATGGAGTGGTAGGAAGAGTGGAGGAGGTCGGCAAGTTAGCAGGGGGTGGGGTAGGCTTCCCTAAAGAGATGGGTTTTCAGGGTGCGCCTAAAGGAGAGGAGAGTAGGTGATAATCTGATGGGTTGGGGCAGGGAGTTCCAGAGGATGGGTGACACCCTGGAGAAGTCCTGGAGGCGGGCATGGGAGGAGGAGACCAGGGAACTAGAGAGAAGGAGGTCTTGTGAGGAGCGGAGTGTGCGTGCTGGGCGGTACTTGGATATTAGGTCAGAGATGTAGTACGGGGCAGTATGGTGGACAGCTTTGTACGTCAGCGTTAGGATTTTGAATTTGATCCGTTGCGCAATCGGAAGCCAGTGGAGGGATTGGCAGAGGGGGGTGGCGGAGACAGAGCGGTTGGAAAGGTGAATGAGTCTGGCAGCAGTGTTCAGGATGGACTGAAGAGGGGATAGCCAGCGGCGAGGCAGGCCAGTGAGGAGGGAGTTGCAGTAGTCGAGTCGTGATATGATGGAGTGGATGAGCTGTTTAGTGGTTTCTGGGGTAAGGAACGTGCGGATTTTGGCGATGTTGCGGAGGTGGAGTCTGCACGAGTTTGTTAAAGATTGGACTTGGGGCTGGAAGGATAGGTTGGAGTCCAGAATGACACCCAGTACTCTGGCCTGCGGGGCGGGTTTGATGGTAGCGTTGTTGGATGTGACGGAGAAATCAATGGGGGGTGGTGTCCGGGCTGGGGGGAAGACAAGAAACTCGGTTTTGGAGAGGTTCAATTTAAGGAAGTGGAGCGACATCCAGTCTGATATGTCGCTCAGTAGGTGTGTGATTCGGGCTGAGACCAAGGGGGTGAGGTGGGGGGTTGAGAGATAGATTTGTGTGTCGTCGGCATAGAGGTGGTAGTTGAAGCCGTGAGAGTGTATGAGTTGGCCAAGGGAGGAGGTATAGATGGAGAAGAGAAGGGGCCCGAGGACAGAGCCTTGAGGGACCCCAACAGAGAGGGGGAGTGAGGGGGAGGTGGTAGCATTATAGGTAACGCTTAAGGAGCGTTGTGACAGGTAGGATGAGAGCCAGGAGAGAGCAGAATCTCTGAGGCCGAGGGAGTGTAGTTTTTTGAGGAGGAGGGGGTGGTCGACTGTGTCGAAGGCCGCAGAGAGGTCAAGGAGTAGGAGCACTGAGTAGTGTCCATTAGCTTTGGCGGTTAGCAGGTCGTTGGAGAGTTTGAGTAAGGCAGTTTCGGTGGAGTGTAGGGGACGGAAGCCGGACTGTAGGGGATCGAGGAGGTTGTTGTCGTTGAGGTGAGAGCATAGGCGGGTGTAGACTAGGCGCTCGAGGAGTTTAGATGTAAATGGGAGCAGGGAGATGGGTCTGAGGTTGTTCGGGTCATTGGGGTCCAGGGAGGGCTTTTTAAGTATGGGGGTGATGTGTGCATGTTTCAGAGGGGAGGGGAAAGTGCCTGAGGAGATCCAAATTACCCAAGATACATGGTAATGGGTCTAAAGGAATGTGCATTTGAAAAACCCTATTTATAGTGTCTACTACTGCTTGCCAATACCTCGATCTACCGGAGCTCCTTGGCATTTCAGGCAGACTGAGCAATCTCTACGGTGCCCCTGGAATAGTCTGAGGCGTGCAATATACACTATGTACAAGGAACAACTGAGACAATCTGAGTAGGGAGACAGGTATATCAACTATACCTGCTATAGAATACATTGCCAAACCTCCTGGTAGCATGCCCATATACTCCATTTCCCAGGCTAGGAAGAGTTTGGAATGCCAGATTTTATATGGGGGTGGCCCACTAGTGAATAAACAGACCTTTAATTTCAGGTTAAGATAAGCAAGCTTCTAATACTTTAAACATCTGGCTCAGTCAACTTGCTGCATCAGTCAAAGAATTCAAGTGAGGATTGTTCTTGCTGGAGGAAAATTATGTCTTAGTTTGTCTGTCAGACTGGATTCTGGAGCATGACAAATGATTTTCTGCTATGACTTGGTAACTGCTCACATAGCAAACATGTCACTATGCCATCCACAGAATTGTTCAACTAGGGCGTCTACAGTGCTCATGGCTGTATAGGCCATTCTATTTGTAAATATATAAATATATATATATGCTGCACTTTATTAAATGCATTTGCTCAGAGTTCTTCTTTAAAGCCTGATAATTTCACTCCAAAAAGTTTGCCTAGCGAAACAAAAACAAGTGCTTTAACCTCCCTAGCGGTCTGATTATGTCCATATTTCTGTGCTCAAAGCGGTACTTTTTTTGCATGGAAATATGTATTTTTTTTATTTTAGGCCTGTCATTTTTAGGAATAACTCACTGAAATATGTCCGAACAAGAGTCTAGTAAACATCCCAGGTATGTTAAAATTTGAAACACGAAATCATAAATTATAATTTAATAATCATAAAAAATAATATAAATAAATTTAATTCAATAATATAATCAAACCAAAAACACTGAAATTTGAAATATAGCGTCAAGTTCGCACATCACTGAGCAAAGTCACAAAATCGTTTTCAGTGTCTGATAACGAATTTCCCCATGAAACATTATCACTCAATTCTGCAAGTAGTTCAAATTTACTATCGCTGTTCTCTAGCTGGTCTAAAAACGATTTTGACCTAAAGGGACGCTTTTTGGACGCCATGGACATTTCTCAGTTTCCAGGCAGAATGAACAGTAAAAATGCAGGCAGGGCACAGGACAAAGCATTAGGGACAAAATGTATGTGAAATGGTTTGATACAGTAATGTTATACTATCAGATTTTAGTGTATTTAATGAATGTCATTTTTTGTCATTTTCAAATTTCCCGCCGTTCCATCCCCCGTACATCCCGACGTCGCAGGAACCCAGAAGACGGAACCCAGAAAACAGATGCCGGCATCCGCCGGAGGACATTGCCGGGGACACTGCAGGAGGGACATCGCGGGAGCGCAGGACAAGGTAAGTGAGGAACAGATCCCAGAGCAGCGCCGCATGGTAAGCCCGAGTGTAGCTCGAGGTTACCGCTTGTGGTACTGAAACTTTACCCCAAGCTACACTCGGGAATACCGCCAGGGGGGTTAACAATGCAAAGCAGGTGGCACCGTTCTGAAGAATAATTCCTTGCATCGGCATGTAATATACAGTTACACTGGTGCAGCTTGGACTAACATAACTATGTAAATACCACACCTGGCCAATGTCACTGGAAGACGTAAATCACTGAAGTAGACATTGCTACTTCAGTGGTCTCCACATGTTTCCGGGACCGGTGCCGAGCAGCTGCTATCCTGCATTGTGCATACAGGAGGTCAGTTGCTTGACATGGGTGCCATTCAGCACCATTCTGAAGGAATGCAAAGCGCTCTCCAGTTGGACGAGGTGGAAAGGCAGAGTGATGAGGTCACGCTCTACAACTCGTCCAATCAGAGAACACTTCATCATTCAGCAAATGTAAAGCAGTCAACCTGCTGTATTCACAAGACAACACACCCATTGCTCAGCAGCAGACCTCAGACACAAGTAGAGATCACTGGAGCAGCGGTATCTACTTCAGTGATTTCCAAGGGCATTTGCCAAGTATGTCACATGCATAATTACATTGGTCCAAGCTCCAAGAACATTAAGCTTTAATTATTTGATGTTCTACTTCTGCCAATGGCTTATTTAACCCTTTTGCTGCCATGGATTGGGCAAATGCTACCAAGCACCCCTGCTACATTTCTCCTATGCTTGATAAACTGTTGCATTAATATTGTAGGACATTAAAAAAATATATATTTATCATATGATATTACCATCACTTTACTCTCAAGGGACTATGTGTTCACAAAGAATATAACGTGTTGGGGTTTTTAAGTAACCTTCAGGTTTGAAATCATCTTTAAAACATGTATGAACACACACGCACACCTCTGACAATGCAAGTGTTAAATCCCAACCCCGGGCAATTTGTTTTTTTTTTTTGTTTTTTTTAAGCTTTGGATAGACATTGGAAAAGTAAATAAGTTTATCAAGCTTTTATTGTTGTCCATGACCTTGTTTGAAGATTTCACCTCATTTTGTCCCTATGACACACTGTGGCAGCAAGACAAGAAATGAGGGGGGCAGTAGTCACTGGGAAAAGACAGACAGTAATAACCTTATGGAAGTTCTTAACTTTGAGTGTCTAAACTGGAGAGACTAAGACAGGAAAGTAAGGGGAAATCCATCCAATAGGGTCACAAAGCACAGGATACAAAAAAAAACACACACACACTTGACAGGAGTTCTCTCCCTACCCTGCTCTGTCAGAAAATGTAAAGCTTTGGCAGACGTTGGACTTTAAATTCCTTACTATTAGACAAGACTTCAATATTACCTTATCCACTCGGTCAGTCTGGACACCGAACTTTCCACCAAAACCTTTCGCTGAATCAGACTGGGAACAGTGCTTGGAAAGCTTTGTCTGGTATTCATGTCCAACTGCAGACTACAATAAAAAGGAAAAAAATACTGTCTGTTAAATCTTACCAACACATGTGTGGCCCATAGAAAACAAATTAAGTCACTTTAAAACTAAAATTACAGGCAAACAAATACACAGGTCTGGATGGGCAAAACACAGGTAGAACGGCTCCCATAAGTCTTTTATATTAGATTTACACAATGACACACAGTACAGCCCTACCTGGCAGGAGAGCCAACAGTGTCTGCAGTTCAGAAAGTCCCCTTTCACACAAGTGGACCAATCGGATCATCTGTTGTTCTCTATGAGTAGGCGGATGTAAAATGGGCGTGTCCATTTACACTACCCTGCATCCGATAAAATCCGCTAAAAACAGACAGATGGGGAACCTGTTCTCCATCCATCTAGCGGATCGGATGACAGTAAGATGTAAACAGACAGGCAGTACATTTACATCCAACTGCCCCATAGAGAACAGTGGGCTGTCTCTGTCAGCTATGCACAAGAGAGGCCACATACAGGAGTGGCACAAATCTGAGGATCCCAGTTCAGGGAAACAAGCACATATGACCTGTAAGAGGACAGGTCTATAAGTGGAGGTGAGTGCAGGACTGAACAGTGGTGGAAAACACATTTTTGCATGCTTTGGAGTAAACACAGGAGGTGGAACATGTACATCTTATGAACTGTGGACATTTGATTATTATTTATGTCTAGTTTCACTCTAATATAATATTTCATGAGCATGGACATTTATGAATTAGTAATTGCATATATTTTAATAAGATATGAGTGAGAAAATCGATGTGTATTTTTAGGGCTAAGCAATACTAGGTTTCCATTTTTATTTTGCACATTATGGGTTTTTTTTTTTTTTATTCAAGTATGTGTGTACAAAATATGTATGTATGTATGTATGTATGTATGTATGTGCGCAGCAATACACTTACTGGGATATTACAAGAGGAGATGGACCTGTCATTCGCCTGCTCAGTGGGGATCAGCGGACAGATAACTTTGCTGAACAGGCGAATCCATCCTAATACTTAGATGTCACTCCCCTCAGCCTGTGACTGGACAGTGAAAGGAGAAGTAGCAGACCAATTAGCTCATCTAGTACTCTGCTCTCTCCTCCTAATAACATGCTCTTTGTAAGAACATGAGTACCACAGCGGATTGGCTTCTCGGGCCACTTCTACCTCTACCAGTCTGAGCTGTGCTGTATAAGGATCTGCAAAAAGCTGGTACCAAGTCATATACAGGTCCCTAAACTCCTTGCATTTATTTTTAATTTAACGGTGTATTAATATATACAGAGCTGCATCAATGTGTGTCTTTGATATCTTTCCTGAGGTCAGCTTTAAAGTCTATTTTAATAATCCACTGACAGGGTTTTTTTATTTTTTTATAACAGAAAAAACCCTAGTGGTCTCTTCTGTCAAATCTCCCCCCTGCCTGTCAGCTGGTAATATGATCTGAGCCGCACATGCGCAGCTCAGATCACATTTACGGCCCACTCTGTGATGTGTGATGTCTTCCGTGTGCATGCGCTGCAGTGATATCGCCAGTGCCCAGCCATTCAAGCGGCCAAAAATACGAAACCTGGAAAGAACACCGGGCGAAGATGGAAGCGCTGAGGAAGCAGTGACAGTGCTGTGCTGGAGAGCTCAGTGTGCAGGTAAGTCTGTCATAATGTGCTAGTATATGATGCACGTTAGTACATTAGAACTTAAACCTGCAGCGTGACCAGCATTTTTGTTTTATATTGATGACTTTGCCACCTCTTTAAAACTTTGTCTCTTCTTACTACTGTCATTATGATCATCCGGATTATTGAAAACTGCGCTCCCTCCAGATCCAGTTTTCATTCATAGAAGCTGCAGTACATGAATGGAGTAGTTGGGTACTTAAGGAGTACATAAATAGAGGAGGTGGGTAGAAACAGCAGGCACTCCCAACGATGGCCTGTCACAGTTTTAACCCCTGCCACACTGGAAGATTACAGCGGTGTGGTGGGACAGAATCAGTACAAAGGACACATCCAGCTGAATGCAAGTTATGTGTTGTGTGCTGATTTATGCATTTTTTATTTTGGCTGCACTTAGGCTTTTATATTTAAGGGCTCAGCAGATATCCAATTTAGCATCACCATTTTCCTGGTATAAAGCCTTCTTCACACGGCTGGGTTGGTGCTGCCTGGATTTCTGCGGCTAGAATCTGTGGATTCTTGTTCGGGAATAACCGGATATGCGATCAGCAGTGGCTATAGGAATAGAGCAGCAGCCACGGTCAGTCCGCCATTAGTTAAAATGGGCTGAGTGGCCATTGCTGTACACATGTAGCCGCACACGGTCATTAGCTGCATTATTCCACTGTATGTAGAAACGTAGTCACCCTCTCTTGCTCGCTCTTGAGATGAGCCATGGACTATCGGATTTGTAGTGTGTATAAAGCAGAGCACATGACTAACTAAAGAGCACTGCTTGTTCAAAAACAAATGGAAATAAAGGGGGATAAACGAGAGATTCATTAGCTCAACAAAGACGTTACAAGGGAGGCAGGCAGAAAACCTAGTATATGGATTATTTTTGGTGATATATAGTTTAGTGACAGTTTAATAGATGACTATATATGGGAGGCTTATTCTCCTCAACACTTATGAGTGCAGTTACCCTTGATCTTGTTAGCTGTATCTCTAGTCATGCGACAGAAACTTGGCATAAGATGACAGGAAAGTCTTCCTAATGCCTGCCAGACCCAGCCTGGAATTGGAGATTATTCCACTAACCACTTCCTATTTCCTATACTAAGCAGAAATCATCTGAGCAGTAAAATGACTCAGCATGAGGCAAGTTGACCCATGGCGTACACTACAGTGCCTGTATTAAGATATCCTCTTGTTTGGTGGCCGATTCCTGATTTGGTAGCAGCACAGCAAGCTGGCGTCTACGATCCATCAGTCACAGAGCTGCCAAACCAAGCTGAGACACAATGAACTCTCTAATGCTTCAACACAGGCCTCAACTCAGCCATTCTAAACCTCCATTCATAGCGATGGCATTCGCTCACAGGAAGTATGTACTAAACACCAAGAACACACAGTACTGAATTTGCTATCAAGGGCATTCTAATAAACAGGCAGGTTCCACAAATATTGTGTTTTTCTTCTTAAAAGGGGTGTCGGACATAACATTTATGAAAAATTAAGGGAGCTGAAATCTCTCTTTATAGAAAATTAAAAGGAAAAATGTTAAATGTTGTAAAGCAAAACCCAGTGTACATTTTTCAAATACTTTAGTACTAGAGACCCCTAAATAACTGCTTTGTTGTATGAGAATTTACACCTTCTAGTACCATCAAAAAGTTACTCGTCTACAGGAAAATTCCACTTTTAACAATTGTTTTTATATTCATCCACTAGACACTCTAAAATCAACATTGTAACATTCTGATTCATATTAAGAGATCTTTGTACCTTATTTTGTGCTGCCATGATTTACTTACTAAAGTTGTAGTGAAAAACTATATTGTTTTATCAAGGTTTCTATCCTAATTTTTTTTTTAATGCTTTATACTTTTTTCCTTGTAACAAAACGTTTACAGACATGCGACAATGTCCATGCAGCTGCACATCGCATTAGACATGAATAGAATTGCATACCAGTATTCCCACATGAGAGAAGTCTTAAAGAAGAATTCTGGCCAAAAATTGTTTCTTGCCCATGTAGTGGGGCTGTGCCCGCCCTGCACGGGTTAACTGCTTGTTTTGCTCTAGGGGAGAAAACAGCGAGATATACTCATCTGACCCACCGATCCTCCCCCCACACAAGACCAGTCCCATCGGCTCCCATCACCCTGTGCTCCAGCAGTCTTGTAAATGGACTGCTCCTGATGTCAGCACGTTCCATAGAAAGGAACACTCTACTGCTGGATCGTGGGGGGAGCGCAGTTTTCCTGAAGATCAGCGGTTCAGGTGAGTATGAGCTTTGAGCTCACCCCTAGAAAAAATTAGCAGCTGATCCATGCAATGGGGGGCACAGCCACACTGCATGATGTAAAGAAAAAAAAAAAAAAAAAAAAAAATTGACTGGAGTTCTGCTGCAGTTGAAGCTAAAATGTAAGCAGGCATAAAAGGCACATTATTACAGCACTGCAATCATTAATGGGTTAGTTCACCTAACTTTATGAAGTCACATGACACAATGATACATCATTAAAGTGTTAGTTTACATAACTATGCAGTGACTCTACACAATAATATACAATTAAAGTGTTAGGTCACCTAACTTTATTCAGTCCCTATACACAACAGCATCATCCTAAGCTAATGGCTGTGTGTTGAGTTATTTTGAGGGGACAGCAAATTTACACTGTTATACAAGCTGTACACTCACTGTGTCGCATTGTAGCAAAGTGTCATTTCTTCAGTGTTGTCACATGAAAAGATATAATAAAATATTTACAAAAATGTGAGGGGAGGCCTCACTTCTGGGAGATACTGTATGTCATTCTTTTATCAAAGAAAGCCTAGCGTTGAGTAAGAGGTTTTTTGTGAAGCAGTATGCTTTTAGTTTGCATTTAAGATCAGTTTACCAGTTCTATAGTAGCTGACCTCCTAAGCTGCATCAACAAGTTTCAAGAACTTTTGCATTCCCATTGACTTATTATCATAAGAAAAGCAGTTCTGGTGTCAACAAAAGCCCATTGACTCAAGCTCCAAAACTCACTTCCCCAAGCCACTGAAACAAAAACCTACCACCATGTTGTACTCCTAAAAAGCCTTGCTCAAAAAAATGTTCAGAGAGTTTGCACCCACCTTGTCCATGCGGTCCTTCTCCACACCAAACTTTCCTCCATAACCGTGAGAAGCTTTGGGTCCAGACTCCAGTTCCTGTTCTTTCAGTGACTGGTGTTCCTGGGAGACATTTCTCCTCAATACATGGATGCTAGGACAAAATCAGGGAGGCATCATTATTATAGGTATTATTTAAAATTCTAACTGCAATATAGATTTGAGAGAACACACAGTACAGTTCAAAAATGATTACAAATTAGCTCTTCAAATATCTGGCAAGGTATCGAAAACCCCTACCATTCCACTGAGAATTGATTTTCTTTTGCTGTGGAGTTGTTCCTTTAAGTGAACCTGAATTCAAAAAGATTTGCTATGATATAAACAAAAATCTACAAATGTGTTTTTTAATCTAAGCAGTATTCTGAAGATTGACTCAAATTCCTCCTTAAAATAGCAGTGCACCTCCCAATGAGTGTGCCTTAGCACTTCTGGGCTTCATAGCTGTATGTCTGATGTGCGAGGCCTAATGTACTGCTGTCTGTGACTGCCAATGTCCTGAAATTTTGACTGAGATTTGTTGCTGGCTCACGGTTCTCCCTACTGGAGAAGAAGTTATACCTCAAGATCTGTAGCGCAAGGATCTTAATGCATCTGTGGATCTGTCCCATCTACAACTCTAATACAGCTTTTTAAATATTCCCTTACCAGTTATTAGATCATCAGTCTGAAGGAGGACAGCTCTGACAAGAGAAAGCAGAGTCATAAGAATCTACCAAGATGGCCATCTCCACAGAGCGACAAAGTGCAGGCATAGTAAGTCAGTAATGTGGAAAAGATCAGCTGCAAGGAATCTATATAGGCAATACTAGTGACTAATCATTTTTCCCTTGCTTGCATTTTTTGCCCTCTAATATTTAATTTACTAGTAAGGACTCCTCTTTAAACACGTTCTTGAATAATGATTTCAGCTTTTAACATTTACAAAAACCCCGTGCACCTAATTCAGTCTTCAGTCTATCAGAAATGATGGGGTGCAGGAAAGTGCTCCCATACATGCCTATCCAGTGGAGTGTCTATGGTTACAACTCCCCTTGCAACCAGTTTAGCTTGTTTCAGATGACACTCCAGCCTGCCCATAGCCTTCAGCTTTTCTGCGAAGGTGAAAGAGCTGAGGGATATAAATCACAGAACAATTCTCATGTTTAAAACTTTCCTGATGTATCTTTCCAGGCAATTTCAATAGGTAGCAAGAACAATCCCTGCACCACACCAATTTCTAAACGGTTCACTTACTTGATGTGTTCCTGATGACCAGATCCTTCCACAGTTTTTGCTCCCCATCTTTGTTCCTTCTCGGATACATCATTCTATTCACAGAAAAAAGGTGATAAATATTACACTCCGCATAGTGGGAGACTTACTAAAACTGGTGCAAACAAAATCCGATGCAAATGTGCATAGTAGCCAATCAGCTTTTAACTTCAATTATGCTTCAATAATAAAAACTAGAAGCTGACTGGTTACTATGCATAGCTGGTTCAGATTCTGTGTGCACCAGTTTTATTAAAATCTCCCCCTCAGTGTTACTTTTAAGCACTTGCGATACCATCAGCTTTATTCAAGTGCTAACTAGGTACAAAGGGAAAAAAATAAATATTCATTTATATTCCTCAAGAGCAACAAAGGATAAGGCTCCACTTTGTGTACGCTGAATGTCTTTGCAAAGCCATATACTCTCTTGAGAATGTAATTGTGACATAATTACTATGCTGTACATAGTCTGTGTAGAGAGCAGAGCTTTTGGAGGGATCCTACAGGAGGGGGTGGATATAAGACCAGTCACTCTGCACAAGGAAAACAATGTAGTAGGGACTGGTCCCTTATCAGAGAAAGTTCCTTCACAGAGGCAAAATATAGGAGTTGTTTCATGCCGGATTACTGCACAGACCTGTGTGAAATATATAAAGGACACCACAATCTAAGCAGAAATACAAATGCCTCTTGTATTTAATATCTGATTAGCCCAGAGTTGAGTTTAAATGTAACTAATCAGAACACAGCCTAGTGAAGTTACACAAACTCACGATGGATCTTGCTTGCATACTATGAGGTATAAACACAGAATCAGGAGACACAGCTTTGGATTGGAGATTTTAATTTGTCGACACTATATATTTGATTAGTTATTATTCATCAATTTATATTTATTTATTCACAACTTTTTAATATATATTTTTTTCATTTAATAATAATTGTCTTGGATCATATATTACATGGATATCACTATTATCATTTGAGCACATATTGCACTTTATATATTATAGTTCACTTAAATAATTAATTTAGTGGAGCGCGAAACAAATCAAATATATTTTCACAGAATCAGGAGACAATTATCCGTTCTCCACACAATTGTTAGCCTTTATTGCATAAAATAAAGAACTGAACCTGACTGCATTCAATGGACTACACCTTCAAAAAACACACTGGTCTTGTTTTCAGGCATGATTTAAAGGAGGAAATAAACACGCAATATTCCAATTTTATTACATATACCATAAAGCACCTAGAGTACTTACTGGCAGTAATTGGGGTGAATTCACACGTGCAAATGCACCTGCACTGCAATTAGATGCGAGCACCCAGGCAGGGCTCCCACGATTAGCTGCGTGAGGCATCTCTACTGAAAGCAGTTGGAGGCTGCCAGCTCATGCAGTGATTACATGCGAGTGATAGGCCATCACTCCAGCTGGGGTTATTACATCTAAAATCGCAGTGCGGGCGCATTCGCAAATGTGAATGCACCCTTGAAGGTCCACTGCATAAAACATTCTGCGAGGTAGAGGGGCTTGATGACGTCATGACGCTCGCATCACTGGTATGATGGATCAGGGAAGTGGAAGCTAGCTGTATATGTATACGATGTGATATTTTGAACTAAATGAGCATGATATCAGGTGCGATGGAGCACCTATACAATGTGAGTGGCCAATTTTAATGTATTTGAATAAACTAGTGTTATAAGAGGATAAAGCATTATTGTGGTTTACTTACTCTCTCCGATATATGTATGCTGAGTGGAGGAGGCAATAAACAGATCGTTCCCCACTGAAGCAAGACTCCATATACAAGATATATCCGTTCTCTTATGTTCATGTCAAGAGACACAAGCGTTTTTTGACCTAACATTTTGTGAGGTCAAAAACTCCAGGTGAGGGCGCATCTGGCGGCGTTAATGGTGGATTAATACTAAGACACAACGTAATTCAGTACATTAATTGTGGAGGGGCAAAATTAAGAAGCTTTATATTAAGAGATTTGAATTATAGAGACCATTCACAGGATATATTTTTTTTGTCTATTCACATATGGTTTTAGGGATTTGGATATAAGGAAAGCGAGGCACTGTATGTTTATTTATTTATGGTTTTGCACATTTATATGAGTATGTGTAGGTGTGAGCAGCTTTCTTTTTAGTTATATTTATTGAAAATTTGATATTTTATGGTATGGTTTTCTAGCTGCTCATGGGAATCATTTGGTATCATTCTGAGACGTAATTTTATAGTATAACTTAAAGGCAAAAAACTTATTTTTCTTGATTTTGGATAAAGTGGAGGTGGATTGAAACCCCTGTCAATTTTTATTGCTGTCTCCGCATCAGTTAAGGAAATTCACCCTCTCCATTTGTCCTGTTTAACATTATAATCGAAAGTGGAAGTAAAAGAAAATCTAAAATTTTTGGGTTGTCCCCAGAAAAGTAATAGAGGGGAAATCATCCAATGGGGACACAAGTTCTGGTGACCTGGGCATCCCCAGGGATTCCCTTAATTTGCAGGGATTTCCTCTCACTTCCTGTTTGGCTATGGGACAGGAAGTGAAATCTCAGAAATGGAACACCAAAAAAAAAAAAAAATCTGACGGGTATACCCCTCCCTTACCTGAATTGCCTAAAGTTCTACTATAACCTAAAATAACACAACAGAAAGCTCCAAAGGATCAAACCTCAACCCAAATTAATATGAGAAAAGAAACAAAAAGAAAAAAAAAAACAAAAAACCAAAAAACACAAAAAGGTTGCTCATTAAGAAATTAATTCCCTGCTGTACCCAACTACCGGTAGAATAATGTAAAGAGGAGAGGATTGCAGCTACTCTCGCCCAGCCAAATAAATGATAGAGAGCGGTCTCAGCCTAAATTTCCTGGGGGTTAAGCAAGCCATAGAGGAGCCAAAATCCGAATTAAAGTTTGTCGATCGTCAGATTGCTTGTTTTTCGCATCAGTGTGCCAGCTGAGACATGCAATTTTCATGCCACAATTGAAAATGCCTGACACAACATACTGGATCTTTTTTTTTTTTTTGGAACAAAAATGATGGCACTATCATATGTGCCATTTTCATTTATCGATCAGCAGAACAAGCGCTTTGGTGGGGAGTATCAACAATCGTTTCCTCTTTACATTTCCTAGCCCCTTGGACAAGCCTGCGCTCCATGTTCTGGAACACAGGGATACGCTTTCACCTCTACTTTAAGCGGCGCCAAAAGCAACCAAACAGGTTGTAATGATAAGAATAAGTCAAACAATCATGATAATGGGATGCTAATAATTGTTCAGTTGAACCCTTGGAACTAGTGCACAAATACATGCTTTCATCCAATGGCTCTGTATCACTTTTCTCATTTTAAATACTATGGGGTTGCTTTACTAAAGGCAAATAGACTGTGCACTTTGTAAGTGAAGTTGCACTCATTTTCACCAGAGCTTAGTGAATGTGGTAAATCATCACTTTGTAAAAAAAACACCCAATTAGGGGTAAAAAGAAAACGCCCAATAAAAGGTGTAAAAAAAAAAAAAAATAAGGTGCAAGGAAAACAAAAAGACTGCATTTTTGCTTGCACAAGACTGGATGCTGGAAATCAGAAGAAGTTTCACCACATTCTCTATGTTCTGGGTAAAGGAGTGCAACTGGCCTTGCAAAGTTCGCAGTCCATTTGCCTTTAGTAAATCCACCCTCATATGTTGAAAAGGACATTGTTCATTTATTATTTAAAAAAAAAAAAAAAAAACTTTTGAAAGTAAAAATTGGTGCTTACAGATGGAATGTGATTAAAAAAAAAATCAAATACAATGTGTATGTACAGAAATAGTCCCATAGCCAAGGGAGCAAATATCGCTGAATGTGCACTTTGTTTTGTTGGTTGTGTTGTACGGTTTAGATCTGGCCTAGAATTCTAAGTGCCGCACGATAAGTTTAATTACAGTAGTCTCAGTGATTTTATGTCCTAAAATAATTTGGCCAAAATGTAAAGAATTACATTGGAGCAGCTATGGCAGGAATATAGAGTCATGCTCTGCAGTATATGGAAAACGTTATCTCAGATTTCATACTTCTTATAAACTCACCACAAAATCAGGATCTGTCTCCCAGTCATCATTGTCATCTGCAGAGATGGAAAAGGAATGTCCTGCTGCTGCTTTCCACATCTGAAATAAAGAACCTTTGTTAAGTACAGCACTCACAATAAAGTAGCACTCCACCCTACATAAAAAAAATTGCTTAGCCTTTAAAAAAGTAATAAAGCAACACTCTTGTTCCAATACTAACCTTTCATCCAGAGCTGTCCTAAAAAGAAAATCTAAACTATGCTGCTGGTTCTCTTCCGAGCTGAATGACTGCCAGTGTCATTGAACTTACTTCCTGTAAACTCAGGGCTGTCATGGACCCGCCCTTGTGGGTGTGTCACCTGAACATACAGTACAGTACTGCAAAAACACATTATTGTAAAAGGTCAGTCCTGACATCCCACTGCCACATATTACAAGTGAAGAGAATGAGTTGTGGTACCAGGCAATTTTTTTTCAGTTTGGGGTTCTTGGAACAGCCTTTTTCAGGTAGAGAGGGAAAATGTGAACCAGGAAAACAAAACAAAAAAATAAAAAATGATGAGAGGTTCTAGCATTCACCTACTAACCTTAAAGTGGGTGCAAAGGCTAAAGGTTTTTTTTTTGTTTTTGTTTTTTTTAACCTTCATGCATTCTATGCATGAAGATAAAAAAAAAAAAACCTATGTGCAGCAACCCCCTCCCCCCGCCCCCATACTTACCTGAGCCCCATCGCAATACAGTGATGCGCACGAGAGCCTCAGCTCTCTGGGGACTCTACCTCCTCACTGGCTGAGACAGCAGAAGTCAATCAGCCAGTGGACCAATGAGGGGGGAGAGAGAGAGTGGGGGTGGGGCTGAGCCACAGCTCTGTTTGTGAATGGACACAGAGTAGCGGATCAGGAGCAAGCCTGCTTGGGTGCCCCCAAGCCTGCTTGCTCTGGGGGTACTCAGCAGGAGGGAGGGGCCAGGAGTACCAGCG